GCGGTCGCGGGCTCGGGCTGGGTCCTCCCGCTGCCCGTCCCAGGATGCTGGCGGCTGGCGTCCCTCGGGCTGGCTTCCTGCCCCGTGCCGACCCACCATGGCTTGCAAAGCGTGGATTACGGCTTAGCGGGCCTTGTGAACCCGACAAAAGGCGCCCTGGCTTGCTCCGCGAAGCGTGGTTAAGGCAGCCCCAGCTTAGCACGGCGTGGAAGCCTCTCAGTGAGGCAGGGAAGCGCCCTCGGTTTCCTGGTTGCGCGGCAAGGACCTCAGAGCTGCTCCTCGCCTTTCGAGGGGCTGAACTGGAAGGACGGAGAGCCAGCCGTTTCTTCAACTCCTTGCGCAGAGCGACCGGGGTGGACGGATCTGAGCCACCGTTTCGGTGGCCCAGAAAAATGTAATCATTGTAACCCACATTTCCGCTGATACTGTTTCACTGCATTTTCCAGGGTTCACCCGGTTTTTGCTTGCAGGGAGCTGCGTGGAGGCCTTCTTTCGAGGGAGCGCAGGCGGGTTTTGAGGTTGAGGGTGGCTCTCTAAGAAGGTGACGGTGGACAATATGCCCTCCTTCCAGGGGTCAAAAAAGTCAAGAGGGTGGCTTATACGCAATGCACATAAAGAAGGTGGGGCTTCAGTCACACGGGCCTAGCAGTCATCTTGACTTTTCTGACCCCCCAACACCCTTCATCTTGCCCTACCCCCTGAAAAATAGCAAACAAGCAAATGTATGTTGTTACAGCACCGAGCAGGGCAGTTTCTGTTTGGCAGGTGAAAATGGAATTCGTATGTTTCGTAGGTGGACAGTAAATATTTACATTGGTCCTTGATTTATGTACCCTTCACGGAGGGGGTTGGAAGCATTCGTGCAGTTTACAGATTAACACAGAGCTAACCGATTTCTATTGAAATGATTCAGTATCGACCCACGTGTTCCTCAAGAAAAGCTTTCAAAAATGATTTGCGTTTGGGAGCCTAGCGTTGTGGATGTTTCAAGACTGCATTTCTCCCTCTTGTGCTCTGTGGGGGTTGGGGGTGAACCAGACATGCTCCATGGGCTTCATCCTGCCTCAGGAGGCGCCTGGGATCCTGAAGCTTGTCTACGAGGTGTGTGTGTGTGTGTGTGTGGCTCCAGAGTCTCTACAATAGTGTTTCTCAACCTTGGC